TACAAAATTAGTTCATGAAAACAGCAAGTTGCATTGATTATCACAGATCTGTAGAAGGAAATCTGACTATGAATAAAGTCATCGAGTTATATTCAAAAAAGAATGAAAACTGAACAGAAGAACCTTTGTGAAACAATTGACGCATGCAGTGGTTCAATGAGAGATTCGAATTTGAAGGCATCGTCAAGTGACGAATTCGGTAATATCACCGACAGTATATCAACAGCTAAATCTCGATAATTCGAGCACTTCGCATCTTCTGAAAATTTTTTTGAGTGAACTGTTTACGAGTACTTAAGAAATTTTTCAGAGTCAAGCTAGTTTCCGGCTAAAAATCAATTCAGATTTGGATTGTCTTTGTTTTAGTCTTTAATTGACTTCACATCAGGTTAGAGCCGAGTTTTTTAAACACATAAAATCGACCTTAGGTTAGCACCGAATTCAGGCTTCAGCTTATGAATGAGAATTGGACTTATGCTAAATACCGTAAGATTTGACTTGAAGAGGTGCAGAAACAATCAAACTGAATCTGACTTAAGCTTATCTAATGCTTAACTTTTAGTTCGACTGTGTCAATTCCAAAATTTAAAGTCAACCTTAGCGACTACTCACCTTGACCAATGATCATTTTGCGGAGTAGATTAATGGGCAATACTTTGATTAAATTTGAGCATTCTGATTCATTCAATATTTTCATTTTTAACATCTTTGGTAACTGAAATTGATCACAGTTGAAGAATTTAAAATCAGATCAATTGGATACAGACTATTTTCCCCAAGTTTATCGTAAACGAGTGTCGTTCAGATGTTACTGAATTCGTGAAATTCACTTAGGAATAATTATTTAAGGCATCTAAATGTACTGGAGTCTCCCGCTTCGTTCGACTGTATTCTAAACAATTTGCCCACTTCTAGAAATCGAATGTCTCTGTCACATGGTTGTGTTTACATGTCTTTTTAAAACTGGCACAATTTTTTCAATGCGTTTTAGCAAGCTTACCAAAGCTGATTAACAGGAACAGGAATTTAATCAATTAAGGCATCATCCGATAAAATGAAATGTTTAAGTGCAAATGGTTAAAGACATTTCCCACATCAATTATATACGATTCATGTAGAAACATATGTGCGTGGAGTAATTCGGTGAATGGAATTTTTGTTTGCTTTTCAACCACTGTAGTCAATCTATATCCGTAATATATGAACTCAATTCCATCTGCACATGAGATAGGCTTGTCGCTATTTGATCAGAGATAAGAAAGTTAAACTGTGAATTTTCAATTGATTATCAGTACTGATTGGTTGATACCAAATACAATTGATAAATCAGTTGAAAACTGAAGGAGCTCAAAATATCCATGAATGATTACATACATATGTAAATATTCGAATTTTTGCTATCCGGGATTCGGATTCTATTCCATTTGTTCTGAACAAAACTTTGAAAGTAACAACTGGAGTTTTAGAAAATCATAATTTTCGATTTTGCAGAGCGCAATCTGAATCGCCATTTCTGCTCATTAAGGATGGATCTTCTCGAAGAGAGCAGAAGTCTATCGGGTAATCACGAATCCAAAATGTTTGAGCTTATAATTGAAGAGGAATCCTTAACAAGCGATGAATACGAGA